AATACCATACCCAGTTTTGCAAAGGAAGCTGGGGGTGGATGATTCATGTAACGGGAAGTTCCCAAAAGAAATCCATATAGTGTATTCTTAGGGATAATCCGGTCACCACAGCAAGATGATGAATAAGAAACTCCCATTCAAATTCTCACCGCGTCTGTGCACTCAACACTCTCCCCCTCTCGATTCCCCCAATGAACGAGAGGTCCACAAATCGAGCGATCAAACCTTCCTACAGTTAGGATCGTCTCAAACCTCCCAATTGGTCAAACCTTCTTACAGTTAGGACCACAGTCAAAATCCCCTCTCGATTCCTCCAATGAACGAGAGGTCCACTTTCAAATCGAGTGATCAAACCTTCCTACAGTTAGGGTCATCTCAAACTCCTGCTTGGTCAAACCTTCCTACAGTTAGGACCAAAACCACAATTCACTCTCGATAAACGAGAAATTCATCTTTAGTTCGGTAATCAAACCTTCCGACAGTTAGGGTTATCCGAATCTTTTCGATTCTCGGAGTGGAGATCCCACTCTCAGTTTCACCTTTCCGGATTCTGGAGGTGGAGATCCCACCTCGAGTCTCCTTTCCAGTTGAAGATAGAATATAAAATTCTTCTTCTTCAGTGTCGGGAGATAGAATATAAAATTCTTCCTCTCCCATTTCGGGTTCGTCTTTGCCCCAAGAGAAGACACCACCTTTTTCAAATCCCAAAATCTGTGCCTCACAGGTACAGGGAATTTTATCCCGAATCCTAAGTAGGGATAAGTCAATGCCTAACACGCATTGCCGGTTTAGTCTTTCTCCGAAGAAGAAGACACCAGAGTTCGATTCTGGGGTATTCTATCCTGAAACCTAAGCAGTGATAAGTCTGCGCCTAACCCGCGCTGCCGGTTAGTTCTTAACCGTTGAAAAGAACATCCGTCCACATATTCAACATTGTGGCAGGTTGTTATTAATAACACCAAAATCCATGCCTTACACGCATGGGGAATTTCATCCTGAATCCTAACACCAACCCTTTTCCAAGAATTTAGGATTCATCATAGGAAGTTTATCCCGAATCCTAAGCAGGGATAAGTCTGCGCCTAACACGCGTCGCCGGTTTAGTCTTTTTCCGTATGAAGAAGACACCAGAGTTTGATTCTGGGGCATTTTATCCCGAAGCCTAAGGAGGGGTAAGTCAGCGCCTAACACGCGTCTTCTCTTAGCACAACGTTACATGTGAAACGGGTTTTAATAATTCACATGCTAGCCCGATTCAAACGGTAATCGGTAAAGGCACGTCAAACCCGTTGAAGGCTGGGGGTTTGCCAAAAATCCCAAAGTCTATGTCTAACATACATTGCCGGTTTAGTCTTTTACCGATTGAAGAAGACACCAGAATCCGAGTCTGGGGATTTTTATCCTGAATCCTAAGTAAGGATAAGTCAGCGCCTAACACGCGTTGTCGGGTAGTCTATTCCCGTAATAATGGTAAGTCTACGTATTCAAAGTTGTAGCATCAAGTCTAAGGGAGTTCATTCCTTTAGCACAACGTCACATGCGGAACGGGCTTAAAACAATCCGCATGTGAGCCCGATTCAAACGATAATCGGTAAGAGCACGTCAAATCCGTTGAGGGCTGAGGATTTGCCAAAAATTCTATAAGTGCGAGTCATTGATGCATCAGATCTGCTAGTTGGTCTTGTGGCTCGATTATCCGACAAAATTAAAATAAGATCCAAAAATGCAGATGAATCAGCTTTAACAGTTGGTCCTGCAACCCTGATACTTGGGACCGCTATGCTCCAATACCTTAAGAGCTAAAACTGTGTATACTCCAGAAAACGTATGAGTATAAACTGTGTCAACGTTCGACGTTCGAAACCCTAGGGTCAACGCCGGTCAACGCGTAACCCTAGGTCAACGCCAGTCAACACGTTGCGACCAAAAAGTCAACATTCGACATTCGAAACCCTAGGGTCAACGCCGGTCAACGCGTAACCCTAGGTTAACGCCAGTCAACGCGTTGCGACCAAAAAGTCAAAGTTCGACGCTCGAAACCCTAGGGTCATGTAGACGGTAAAAAATACCTCTATAGGCTCACAGGAAATTCGCCTGCGAAAAGAGCTCGCACGCCCGGTTCGCTGGCACGGGCCTAAATCGCATGGACATCGCACATGCTCGATTCTAAGTTTCGTACAATACTAGAATTAGAAGACTTTTACTCTCAACAAGACCAAAGATTGACTTAGACCATCTCCAACGCAGCGGCATTTTGAGGCGAAAAGTGAAAATGCCGCTGCGTGGGAGCTCCAATCGAGCGGCATTTGTTGCCGCATTTTGACGGGGATGAACAGCGCGACGCTATATTTGGCGTCGCACTGTTCATCCCCCATTACTGTTTTTTTTTTATTTTTTTATTTTTCAATTTTTTTTAAACCTCATACTTTTATATATTTACAATTTGTCCCCAATTGTTTCATTAAATATATAAAACAACCCTAATAATATTTAAATTTTATAATTTCACCCCAATTGTATAATGTGGACAAAATAAATTATGGTTTTTTTAAATTAAAAAAATGCTAAAATTTAACAGACATTATTATTAATTATAATATTAAAATCTAGACATACATAATATAAAACTTCATTAAAGAGCAATCATAATACATAATTCAAATATAAATTACATATCTGAAATACATAACATATAAAAACTGACACACATAATATAAAACTTCATTAAAATAAAACATAAAATACAAACTAAACATGGTGACGTTACTTAAGATGGACAAGCAACTCTCAATAATCTGGTAGATCGGGGCCAGAGTGTCCAATATCATTGAAATAATTGCCAAAATTAGAAGCAGACCCTTGTTCTTGTTGATTTCTTTTTTGTATTATTTTAATCTGTTGAGCTCGAACGTACTCACGCACGTTTGGATCAGCAATGGAATTCAAATCTTTCATTATAATTTTCCATTCATCTCTATCTTTTTTCATGGCTATCTTTTCTCGTTCGATATCAAATGCTTCTTGCCTGTCCAAGCTCGCCTTGTCTAACCTGTCTATAAGTCGATTGTTGGAGGTCTCGATGGAGTCCACTACACTTGACTCATGATCATCATTTTTCCTTTTCAATTTAGCTTTTTTTACCCCAATAGGTCGTTCAGATGGAGTAAATGATGATAGTCCAGGAGATGTTGATATAGGAGATTCCGGAGTGGGATTATCTGATTGTGACGAGTCGAAGTTCACACTTTGGGATTGTCTTCGACCAACTTGTCTTGCTGTGGGGACATCATCTTTGAATTTTTCAAAATTTTTAACCATATTCTATACATTATCAAATTTGAAACCTTTTTTGTACTTTGGTTCTTGCATAAATAACATCTTTGCTCGAACTAACTGCAAATTATAGTGAACATCAAGTTATGTATTTCAACAATAATAATAAAATTCAGACGATAATTAATAGAATACTTACAATATCTTCATCTGAAGCACCACTTGGATTCAGATTCTCTACTTGTCTCAAGCACGCATTCAATTTCCTTACTTCATTACTTATGATTTCCATTCGAGAACGTCGGCTCACACGCATCTCAAAATGCTGATCTCGAAGTTCATTGTATTTGTCCTCCACACGAGACCAAAATGCATCTCGAGACTGGTTTCTACCGATAATAGGGTCTTGAGAAATATCCAAGAATACTTGACAAAGGAGCACATCTTCAGTAACCGTGTATCCAGTTGATCGAACAGACATTTTTTTGTAAAAAGTGGTTGGTTTGGAGATCAGAAATACTTCGAATTGGGTGGTTTGAAGTAGAATTCGTGAATGTTATTTATAGCCAATCCAAATTTGTTTTTTTTGTTTGAATTTGAATTTGAATTTGAATTTGAATTTGCGGTTGGTTTGAATTTGTCGGTGGTCAACATTTGAAATTGAATCATTTTGTACAAACTGATCAGCTTTACACATTATCCAACGTTGTCGGTGGGAATCAATTTTTGAAATCAGGTCAGCTTTACACATTGTCCAACGTATACACAGCTCAGCTCTCCTTGAATTGTGTGAAAGCTTTGTACGAGTGGGAATCAATTTTTGGAAATCTGTCAGCTTTACACATTGTCCAACGTATACACAGCTCAGCTCTCCTTGAATTGTGTGAAAGCTTTGTACGAGTGGGAATCAATTTTTAAAATCAGGTCAGCTTTACACATTGTCCAACGTATACACAGCTCAGCTCTCCTTGAATCGTGTGAAAGCTTTGTACGAGTGGGAATCAATTTTTGAAATCTTTTACACATTATCCAACATTGTCGGTGGGAATCAAAATTTGAAATCAGGTCAGCTTTACACATTATCCAACATTGTCGGTGGGAATCAAAATTTGAAATCAGGTCAGCTTTACACATTATCCAACGTTGTCGGTGGGAATCAAAATTTGAAATCAGGTCAGCATTGTGTAAAATACTATTGTACGAGTGGGAATCAATTTTTGAAATCAGGTCAGCTTTACACATTGTCCAACGTATACACAGCTCAGCTCTCCTTGAATTGTGTGAAAGCTTTGTACGAGTGGGAATCAATTTTTGAAATCAGGTCAGCTTTACACATTGTCCAACGTATACAGCTAAAAGCAAATTTGAATTTTGTGACAAATTGATAACAGCTGGAAAGCATTTCCTAAAATCAGCTCAACTTTACACATTGTTCAATGTATACAGCTAAGCAAAGTTTTATAAATAGCATACTAGATTAGGTACATCCACACAATTACTCGTTGTTGTGTTAAAATTATTATTCTCCATTTCTGCATACTTCAGTCATTCTTTTCTTACTTCAAAAATGAATTTCGATGTTGGAGGTCCATCATACTTATCATCATCTTCATCTTCGGATGATGATAATCTTCTGTCCAATATCATTGCAGAGATTGATGAAACCGAAGAAGTAATTTGTGAGTTTCAAAAATGAATTTCGATGTTGGAGGTCCATCATACTTATCATCATCTTCATCTTCGGATGATGATAATCTTCTGTCCAATATCATTGCAGAGATTGATGAAACCGAAGAAGTAATTTGTGAGTACATCAACAACATGATCCTCGTTAACAATTTACGTCAACACAACTACTAACCGATCCATGGTGGCTCGATTCCCGGTCATGCAGTGATCAACCGCGATCGAGAAAATGCGCATCAGAATTTGGTCATAGATTACTTTGCCGATAATCCACGTTTTGGAGAAGATATGTTTCGTCGTCGATATCGGATGTCAAGAAGTTTGTTCCTTCGTATTGTTGATGCAGTGAAAGATCATGACTATTACTTCCAACAACGAAGTGATGGACTTGGTAGAATGGGATTATCACCGTTACAGAAAGTAACAGCTGTTTTTCGCATGTTGGCATACGGTCTACCAGCTGATGCTACGGACGAATACGTTAAAATAGGTGAGTCAACAGCAATTGAAAGTATGAAAAGATTTTGTCGTGCTATGGTGGAGATATTCGCAGAGCGGTATCTACGAACACCTAACGCTAACGATATTGCTAGGCTACTCTATATTGGAAAAAAACGTGGTTTTCCAGGAATGTTAGGAAGTCTTGATTGTATGCATTGGAAATGGAAAAATTGTCCAACAACATGGTCTGGTCAATACACAGGACGTAGTGGGTCACCAACTATTATCCTCGAAGCTGTGGCAGATTATGATCTTTGGATATGGCACGCATATTTTGGTATGCCAGGCACCAATAATGATATCAATGTGCTGGAGCCATCTAATCTTTTCTCTAACCTAGCTCAAGGTATTGCTCCTCCCGCTCACTATGTTATTCAAGGAAAATAGTATAATATGGGTTATTATTTAGCTGATGGTATATATCCGAAATGGGCTACTATTGTACAAACAATCCAACAGCCACAAGGTAGGAAGAAAAAATATTTTGCCATGAAACAGGAAGCATGTAGAAAAGATGTAGAACGTGCGTTCGGAGTTCTCCAATCACGATTTGCAATCGTGGCAGGATCAGCACGTTTTTGGAAAAAACATGTATTACATGACATAATGACTGCATGCATTATTATGCACAATATGATAATCGAGGATGAACGTGATCTTTATGCACCAATTCAAGAAGTGAGGGAAGCACCAACACCAGAAGTTGATATGGTAGCAGATGAAACTACAAGATTTGGTCAATTTATTGCACGTTATGAAAAAATCAAGGATAAAGATGTAAGAAATATATGGCCTATGTGTCATATATTAAATTGAGTATAAGGTTTAAATAATATTAATACTATTATGAGGATTATTGGTTATGGAAAAGTACTTAATATGACCATGTAGTTAATTAACTAACACCCATGTTTTTAATCATGTTGATGGAACATGTGTGGGTGGGTAGTTTTATTAACTACCGGATAGTTGCTCCTCTCTCTTTCTATAAAGAAACCTAAGCACATAATTTTTCTACACCATCAATTAACTTCGAAATTCAAAAGGGCTTGGTTTTAAAGAAAGATTAGAGAGAGAAAGCAATCTTCTCCAAGGTCTCAATTCTCTAAAGGGTTCATAGCATGGCTCAAGGTATGGTCTCAAACATCTTATATTTGTGATTGTCATGAAGTTCTACGATCCATGTCTTCTAATTAATTATAGAGGAATTATGATTATGTTTACATTTGGTATCAGAGCCAAGTTCAAGAACTCATGATTCTCCAATTAAGATTATTATGAACTTAATATTAAAACTGAGAAATTTAATCCGCTGCTAATATCTACAATTAACATATGATTGTTAAGATTAGGTTTATTTAGATTACATGTATAGACTAATATTCGTTGTTCAGATTCTGTAAAAGAAATAAAAGGAAAATTGAATTAATGTTTAAGTGCTATGATTTGGCAATTTAAATTATTTGTAAACATATGTTGTTACTGTCAACTTTATGAATTAATGATATACATGTTACTGTCAAATAAATCTTTTGATATTATATATACATGTTACTGTCACCTATTTTGTTTTGAAAGTTATTACCAGTAACCGAAACAAAAAATAAAATATATATACATTCGGATTTATTTTTAATCAACCCCAAGAACCCCCAAGGCCCCAAGGCCCCTGTCAAGATACATTTATAAGGGGATTTGAACCATGGACCTCTCACTTCACACCCAAAACTCTTACCACTAGGCTACTCCATGTTGGTTCATTTGGGTATGTTGTATTATACTACTTATGATGTTTACAATGAAAGGATGCAAACAAGTTATTTACTATTGTTTACAATTCATCAATGTGAAACACAATTGAAAGAAAATAGTTCAATATGATGTTTATATGAACATTATGAGAAAACTTTGACAATTTAAACTATATATTGTTAGTTACCAAAGTGGCCAATATAGAAGTTTGAAAGAAATTGTGTTATAAAATTGTTAAGGTTACTCACTTATATTGATGCTTGTAAATGATTAAGGATAATTTTAGTTCATTATTATAGGACGTTTTAATCACCCAAAGGTGGATTAGTTGTTCATATAATTAATGAACATAATTGTTGGCATCTAGTATACTATATTAGTTGTATTTTATATCCAAAGATGTTAAATATTTCTGAGTAGAGTATGCATGTGATTGCCAAATTATTGATTCTTTAAGCATCAAATTATTGTTGTATGTCTTTGTATCACCCAAAGGAGAACATTGATATACATTTATTGGTTTGAATCTGTCTTATGTGTTTACAAATAAATGTTTTAATGTTGAGTATTATATAATTTTGCAGTACCTGTTCCCGTTGCTCTTCATTCGCATGCTTCGTCTGTTACATTGTTTAATGGACATAACTTCCCTGATTGGTGTGAGCAAATTCGATTCCATTTGGGTGTATTGGATCTGGATTTGTCACTTCAATCAGAGAAGCCAGCTGCTATTACTGATGCTAGTAGCGATGAGGATAAGATCTTCTATGATGCTTGGGAAAGATCGAACAGACTAAGCCTAATGTTCATGCGAATGAGTATTGCAAATAACATCAAGTCAACTCTTCCCAAGACTGAAATTGCTAAAGAATACATGAAGTTTGTGGAAGAGCGCTCTCAAACGGCAGATAAGTCTCTGGCAGGGACATTAATGGCCACCTTAACCACCATGAAGTTTGATGGTTCTAGGGGCATGTATGAGCATGTGACTGAAATGACTGATGTAGCAGCAAAGCTTAAGAATTTGGGGATGGCGGTGGATGAGAGTTTTCTGGTGCAATTTATCATAAACTCATTGCCACCAGATTATAGCACTTTCCAAATGAACTACAATACCATGAAAGATAAATGGAATGTGAATGAGCTACAAATTTTGCTAGTTCAGGAGGAAAGAAGGCTTAAGAATAGAGTAACTCACTCCGTTCATCTCCTTGGTAATCAAGGAACTGAAAAGAAGGCTGGAAATAAGAAATGGAAGGGTAAAAGGCCACTTAAGGAGAATGGTTCTTCCTCCAAAATTCACAAAAAGGACTTCAAGAATGACAAGTGTCGATTTTGCGGAAAGCATGGTCACTTCAAGAATGATTGCCTGAAACGTAAGGAATGGTTCGAAAAGAATGGTAAGTTTAATACTTTCGTATGTTTCGAATCTAATTTAACTGAAGTTCCTTATAATACCTGGTGGATTGATTCTGGTTGTACCACTCATGTTTCCAATACGATGCAGGGATTCCTTACGACCCAAACCACAAATCCAAATGAGAAGTTCGTCTTTATGGGAAATCGAGTGAAAGCTCCAGTTGAAGCTGTTGGAACTTATCGCTTGATTTTAGACACTGGAGCTCATTTAGATTTGTATCAAACTCTTTTTGTACCCTCTGTTTCTCGTAATTTTTCAACATGATATTGCTTTAAGTTTAATGATGGGTGTTTTAGTTTGTACAAACAAAATTGTGTTATTGGTTCTGGTATTTTATGTGATGGTTTGTACAAATTAAAACTTGATAATCTTTTTGCTGAAACTCTCTTGACAGTGCATCATAATGTTGGAACTAAACGTGGTTTAGTGAATGAAAATTCAGCTTACTTGTGGCATAAACGTTTGGGTCATATATCCAAAGAAAGATTGACAAGATTGGTAAAGAACGAAATTTTACCAAACTTGGATTTTTCTGATTATGGTATTTGTGTGAATTGTATAAAAGGAAAACAAACAAAACACACAAAGAAGGGAGCCACAAGAAGCACTAAGCTCCTTGAAATAATACACACCGATATTTGTGGGCCTTTTGATGTTCCATCTTTTGGTGGAGAAAAGTATTTTATCACCTTTATTGATGATTTTTCACGTTACGGATATGTCTATTTATTGCATGAAAAATCTCAATCAGTAGATACCTTAGAGGTGTTTATTACTGAGGTTGAAAGGCAATTAGACACAAAAGTAAAAATAATTAGATCTGATAGAGGTGGTGAATATTATGAAAAATATGATGAAAGTGGACAATGTCCAGGCCCATTCGCAAAATTCCTTGAAAAGCGTGGCATATGTGCTCAATATACTATGCCAGATACACCACAACAAAATGGTGTAGCAGAAAGGCGTAATCGTACTTTATTGGAAATGGTTAGGAGTATGATATGCAATTCATCTTTACCCATTTCATTGTGGATGTATGCCTTAAAAACTGCCATGTATTTGTTAAACAGGGTTCCTAGTAAGGCAGTTCCTAAAACTCCTTTTGAGTTATGGACTGGTAGGAAACCTAGTTTAAGGCACCTGCATGTTTGGGGTTGCTTGGCAGAAGTAAGGATTTATAATCCACATGAAAAGAAATTGGATTCAAGAACAACCAGTGGTTTTTTCATTGGTTATCCAGAAAAGTCTAAAGGGTATAGATTTTATTGTCCTAGTCATAGTACAAGAATTGTTGAAACTGGAAATGCTAGATTCATTGAGAATGGTGAAATCAGTGGGAGTTTGGAACCACGAAAAGTGGAACTTCAAGAAGTTAGGGTGGAGATCCCTTTACCTGTAACTTCTTGTAAAGTTGTTGCTCCTCCTATTGTTGAACAGTTAAACAATAATCAAGAACAACAACCTAATGACCAAACAACTCACAATGAAGACAACATCAATGAATCTGTTGTAAATGAACCACAGGTAACAGAATTAAGAAGGTCCCAAAGACCAAGAAGATCTGCTATTTCTGATGATTATTTGGTTTATCTACATGAAGAAGATTTCGATGAAGGAATCGATAAAGATCCAGTTTCGTATTCACAAGCCATTAACAGTGCTAATTCTACGAAATGGTTAGATGCCATGAACGATGAGTTAAAATCTATGGAACATAATGAAGTTTGGGATCTCGTTGAATTGCCCAAGAACTGTAAAAGAGTTGGGTGTAAATGGGTTTTTAAGACCAAACGCGACTCACTTGGCAATATTGAACGATATAAGGCCAGACTTGTTGCTAAAGGTTTTACTCAGAAAAGTGGTATTGACTACAAAGAGACTTTTTCACCAGTCTCTAGAAAAGACTCGTTAAGGATTATTATGGCTTTGGCTGCTCATTATGATTTGGAGTTACACCAAATGGATGTGAAAACTGCCTTTCTAAATGGGAATTTAGAAGAAGTGGTGTATATGAATCAACCTGAGGGTTTTTCCATTAAAGGAAAGGAACACATAGTGTGTAAACTTAAGAAATCAATATACGGACTTAAACAAGCTTCCCGCCAATGGTATTTCAAGTTCAATGATACCATTACTTCTTTTGGATTTAAAGAAATCATTGTTGATCTTTTGGATTTAAAGAAATCATTGTTGATCGATGTATATATATGAAGATCAGTGGGAGCAAGTTTATAATTTTGATTCTGTATGTTGATGATATTTTGCTTGCTACTAATGATCTTGGCTTATTATATGAGACCAAGAAGTTTCTCTCCAAGAACTTTGAAATGAAAGATATGGGTGAGGCAACCTATGTGATCGGGATAGAAATATTCCGGGATAGATCACAAGGATTGTTAGGATTGTCTCAGAAAGCATATATTAATAGAGTTTTGAAGAGATTCAAAATGGAAATGTGCTCATCAAGTGTCGCTCCAATTCAGAAAGGTGATAAGTTTAGCCTTATGCAATCTCCGAATAATGAATTGGAACGCAAGCAAATGGAAGAAATTCTGTATGCATCAGTCGTTGGGAGCTTAATGTATGCTCAGACTTGTACCAGGCCAGACATCAGTTTTGTTGTTGGAATGCTAGGTCGGTATCAAAGTAATCCGGGAATGGATCATTGGAAAGCTGCAAAGAAAGTGTTGAGATACTTGCAGGGAACGAAAGATCATATGCTCACTTATCGAAGATCAGATGATCTTGAAGTGATTGGTTATTCAGATGCAGACTTTGCTGGTTGTATCGACTCAAGAAAATCAACATCCGGCTATCTATTTCTTCTAGCTAGGGGAGCAATCTCATGGAAGAGTGTGAAGCAATCTGATATTGCTACGTCCACTATGGAAGCAGAGTTTGTGGCTTGTTATGAGGCTTCCATTCAAGGGAATTGCCTGCGAAACTTTATTTCAGGACTTGGCATAGTCAACAGTATTGTCAGGCCGCTGAAAATTTATTGTGATAATTCTGCAGCAGTCTTCTTTTCAAAGAACGACAAGTATTCTAAGGGAGCAAAGCATATGAGTTTGAAATACCTTGTCGTT